CCGTTTCCACCCCATTTCCACCCCATCTCTGTCCCATTTCTGCCCTGTTTCCACCCCATTTCCGCCCCATTTCTGCCCCGTTTCCACCCCATTTCTGTCCCGTTTCTGCCCCGTTTCTGCCCCATTTCCGCCCCGTTTCCACCCCGTTTCCGCCCCGTTTCCACCCCGTTTCCGCCCCGTTTCCACCCCGTTTCCACCCTGTTTCTGCCCCGTTTCCACCCCGTTTCCACCCTGTTTCTGCCCCGTTTCCTCCCCGTTTCCACCCCGTTTCTGCCCCGTTTCTGCCCTATTTCCGCTCCATTTCTGCCCCGTTTCCGCCCCGTTTCCACCCCGTTTCCACCCTGTTTCTGCCCCGTTTCCACCCTGTTTCTGCCCCATTTCTGTCCCGTTTCTGCCCCGTTTCTGTCCCATTTCCACCCCGTTTCCACCCTGTTTCTGCCCCGTTTCCACCCCGTTTCTGCCCCATTTCTGCCCTGTTTCTGCCCCGTTTCCAGGCACCACGTGCATTATGTCATCCCCTACGACGGGGACCAGTCGGTGGTGGACTCCTCGGAGAATTACTTTGTGACTGACAACGTCACCAAGCAGGAGATCGACCTGATGCTGGGGCTGCTGCTGGGCTTCTGCATCAGCTGGTTCCTGGTGTGGATGGACGGGGTGCTGCACTACGCCGTGCGCGCCTGGCGGACCAGCCGGCGCTATGGTGAGCGCTGCCCTTCCTCCCCATCGTCCTCCTCTTCCTCCTCCTCTTTCCTCTCGTCTTCCTCGTCCTCTTCCTCCTCATCTTTCTTCTCATCTTCTCCTCTTCCTCCTTCTCTTTGTCCTCTTCTTCTTCTTCCTCCTCCTCTTCCTTCTCATTTTCTCATCTTCCTCATCCTCTTCCTCGTCTTCTCTTCTTTCTTCTCATCTTCTCCTCTTCCACTTCCTCCTTCTCTTTGTCCTCTTCTTCCTCTTCCTCCTCCTCTTGCTTCTCATCTTCTCATCTTCCTCATCTTTCCTCCTCATCTTCTCTTCTTTCTTCTCATCTTCTCATCTTCCTCCTTATTTTTGTCCTCTTCTTCCTCTTTCTCATCCTCTTCCTCCTCCTTTCTTCACATCTTCTCATCTTCCTCCACTTCTTCCTCCTCATCTTCTCCTCTTTATTCCCATCTTCTCCTCTTCCTCTTTCTCCTTCTCTTTGTCCTCTTCCTCCTTCTCTTCCTCCTCATCTCCTCTTCCTCCTCCTCTCTGTCCTCTGGGGTCTGGCCCAAACCTGGGATTTTCCAGCCCTCTGGAAGTTCCCAGCCCCGACTGTCCCAGGATTCTGTGACCCGAGCAGGAACGTTGGTGTGGGAATTCTGTGGGCAGAACATCTCCAGGCTGCACCAAAATCCCCCAGGAAAAATCTGGATTTTTATCTTTTCCCTCACTGCTGGGAGCAGCCTGGTGCTGCTTGTGGAGAGCTGTGACACTGCAGTGGCAGTGACAGACACCTGTGGGTGCCAGCTGACACCCACTATTTCCATTTCCATTTCCATTTCCATTTCCATATTTCCATTTCCATATTTCCATTTCCATATTTCCATTTCCATTTCCATATTTCCATTTCTATATTTTCATTTCCATTTCCATATTGCCGTTTCCATTTCCATACTTCCATTTCTATTTCCATTTCCATATTTCCATTTCCATATTTTATTTTCCAATTTGCCATTTCCATATTTCCATTTCTATATTTCCTTTTCCAATTTTCCATTTCCAATTTTCCATTTCCAATTTTCCATTTCCAATTTTCCATTTCCATTTCTCCATTTCCATTTCCATTTCCATTTCCATTTCCATATTTCGTTTTCCAATTTTCCATTTCCATATTTCAATTTCCATTTTTCCATTTCCACTTCCATATTCCCATTTCCATTTCCACATTCCCATTTCCATCCCTTCCCACCCCTCATCCCTGACCAGATGTGGAGTTTGTTGTCCCACTGTGCCATCAGCCCCATGGGGGGAAAGGCTTGGCCACAACACTTTGGAGCATCCAAAATCCTGAATTTTCACCCCGAGAAGCACCAGCAGCTCCTTCAGAGGCTCCCTCACCCGCAGATTTCCAAAAAACAAAGTCAGGAAAATGCATTAAAGTAGAGAATGACTGGAAATCCCCCAAAAAGTGCCTCCAAATCTCCATTCTGCCCGTGAGGGATGCAGCTCGGGGGAGGGAAGCGAGCGGCACCGAGATTTACCTGCGGGCCCAAATTCCAATCCCGGCCTCTTTATTTATTTCCAAAACCTCCGATAAAATGGATCTTTATTTCCAAAACCTCCGATAAAATGGATCCTTATTTCCAAAACCTCCGATAAAATGGATCTTTATTTCCAAAACTCCGATAAAATGGATCCTTATTTCCAAAACCTCCGATAAAATGGATCCTTATTTCCAAAACCTCCGATAAAATGGATCTGGAATTCCAAAACCTCCGAAAAAATGGATCCTTATTTCCAAAACCTCCGATAAAATGGATCTGGAATTCCAAAAGCTCCGATAAAATGGATCTGGAATTCCAAAAGCTCCGATAAAATGGATCCTCATTTCCAAAACCTCCGATAAAATGGATCTTGAATTCCAAAACCTCCGATAAAATGGATCTTTATTTCCAAAAGCTCCGATAAAATGGATCTTGAATTCCAAAACCTCCGATAAAATGGATCCTTATTTCCAAAAGCTCCGATAAAATGGATCCTTATTTCCAAAAGCTCCGATAAAATGGATCTGGAATTCCAAAAGTTCCGATAAAATGGATTTGGAATTCCAAAAGCTCCGATAAAATGGATCTTTATTTCCAAAAGCTCCGATAAAATGGATCTTGAATTCCAAAACCTCCGATAAAATGGATCCTTATTTCCAAAAACTCCAATGAAATGGATCCTTATTTCCAAACCCTCCGATAAAATGGATCTGGAATTCCAAAAGTGCCGATAAAATGGATCTGGAATTCCAAAAGCTCCGATAAAATGGATCTGGAATTCCAAAAGCTCCGATAAAATGGATCCTTATTTCCAAAAGCTCCGATAAAATGGATCTGGAATTCCAAAAGTTCCGATAAAATGGATCTGGAATTCCAAAAGCTCCGATAAAATGGATCTGGAATTCCCCTCCATCTTCCCGGCTGGCCGCGGTGAGCCGGAGCCTCCCGGGGCTGCTGCTCCTGGGGGATTTTCCCGGCAGCGATTTGGGGCCGCGGCTCCCGAACTTCCCGGCGGGAGCGCCTGGAGCTCCCCTGGCGCCGGGCGGCCCAGCCCTGCTCAGCCAGCTGCCAGCTCAGATTAGGCATTAATTAGTAATTTTTATTTTTAGCCATTAATTTGGGATTTTTTTAATCATTATTTAGTAATTTTTGATTTTTAGCCATTCATTTGGCATTTTATTTTTAGTCATTATTTAGTATATTTTTATTTTTAGTAATGAATTCAGTTTTATTTTTAGCAATTATTTAGTATTTTTGTATTTTTAGTTATTTCGTATTTTTTTTTTGTCATTTAGTATTTTTTTATTTTTAGTAATTAATTTAGTATTTCAACTTGCTTATCTCTTTGGTTTCATTTTTTCCCTGTGTACACCCATTTTAAGGCTTTATAAAAGGCTTGGCCAATGAACCGAAATCTTCATTATTTTTTATTGTTAATTATGTTATTATAGCAATATATTTATATATTGATATATTGATTTATTGATATAGTGATATACTAATATAGTGATACATTGATGTATTGACATATTGATCAATATATATTAATATTAATATATTATTAATACATATTATATTATATTATATTATATTATATTATATTATATTATATTATATTATATTATATTATATTATATTATATTATATTATATATAAGATCTTAATAGTATGATAATATATAATATTAATATATTATATATCAATATATATAATATATATCAATATATGAGATCAATATATTACTATATCAATATATCAATATACATTATATATTGGTATCAATATATATATTACTGCATCAATATATAGTGATATATTGATATAGTGATATATTGATAAAGTGATATAGTGATATATATGAGTGTATTAATGTATTCATAATTCATGTCTATAAATTAATTTGGTAAAGCTCTTCCAGTTCAGGTGTAAAATGAATTCTCAATTTGGGAATTCTCTCCACATCCCGCTGGGGGTGGTGGCGGCCGGGAGGAGGAGGAGGAAGAGGAGGAGGATGGAGGATGGAGAATGGAGGATGGAGGATGGAGGATGGAGGAGGAGGATGGAGGATGGAGGATGGAGGAGGAGGATGGAGGATGGATGGAGGAAGAGGAGGAGGATGGAGGATGGAGGATGGAGGATGGAGGATGGAGGATGGATGGAGGATGGAGGATGGAGGATGGAGGATGGAGAATGGAGGATGGAGGAGGATGGAGGATGGAGGAGGATGGAGGATGGAGGAGGATGGAGGAGGAGGAGGATGGAGGAGGAGGAGGATGGAGGAGGATGGAGGATGGAGGATGGAGGATGGAGGATGGAGGATGGAGGATGGAGGATGGAGGATGGAGGATGGAGGAACAGGAGCTCTGCCCCCATCCCCGCGGCCCTCGGGGGTGCTGTGCCTTTGAGGGCCCCCCCAGCCTTCACCCACCTCTCCTCCTGCCTTGCAGACAACTCCTGGTCCTGGATTCCCAAATTCTGCAACCTGAAGGAGCTGCGGAAGCGCCACCACCGGCAGTACGAGGAGGCCACCGGGAACATGGTGCACATCAAACAGAAGCTCTACCACAACGGGCACCCCAGCCCGCGGCACCTCTGAGGGAGCGGGACCGCGGCCGGCCTCTGCGCACCCAAGGGACTCCTCATCCTCCTGGGGAACAGCCTCCGCGTCGCTCCCGGGCCAGCTTGAGCGCGCGGATTTTCGGGATCCATCCCAGGTGGACACGCCACGATGCACAACTCGAGCCACTCCTGGATGCTCTGCAGCCAAGGCTTTGCACTGTGTTCCACATTTTATTGTCAGACTCGTGTAAATATGTAAAAAAAAACCAAAAAAAAAGAGAGAGAGAGAAAAGAGATTTGCATTATACTTTCAACCCCCCCACTCCTCCATTTTCCTGGCTGCTGGGAATGTTGGATGGAGGTGGGACAGCGGCGAGAAGATGCAGAGTGTCTCCTCCAGGAGCTCCGGCCCCCCAGAGTTTCTCTGCTCGTGGCCTGGCGGGTCTCAGGTTTGGATGGGGGCAGGCACGGTGTCCCCTGCTCGGGATTTTGCTCTGGGAGCTGCCGGGGGGGAGGAAGGGCTGGAATTGCTCCGGGGTTTGGTGTTTGCTGCCCACTGAAACTGCCTTAAGCAACCCCAGCTCCGAGCCAGGGCGGTGGGGCTGGTGCTGCTGCTTTGGTGGCACCGCTGGTGGCACCGCTGGTGGTGGCAGGGCTGCTGGCCTTCACTAGAGGAGGGTGGGATGTGTCAGATCGGATTAAAACACCCCAAAACCCCAGAGTGGAGCACAAAAGGAACCCTGAGAAGGTTGAGCCTGGTTAAAACACCCCCAAAACCCCAAAAAATCCCAGAGAGCAGCACAGAGGAGATCCCCAGCAGGGTGAGCCTGGTTAAAACATCCCAAAAACCCCAAAAACCCCAAAGTGCAGCACAGAGGAGATCCTCAGCAGGGTGAGCCTGGTTAAAACATCCCAAAACCCCAAAAACACAGAGAGCAGCACAGAGGGAGCTATGAGAAGGTTGAGCCTGGTTAAAACATCCCAAAACCCCCAAAACCCCAAAGTGCAGCACAGAGGGAGCTATGAGAAGGGTGAGCCTGGTTAAAACCCCCCAAAACCCCAAAAACCCCAGAGTGGAGCACAGAGGGGGCCCAGAGCAGAGTGAGCCTGGTTAAAACACCCCAAAACCCCAGAGCAGCACAGAGGAGATCCTCAGCAGGGTGAGCCTGGTTAAAACACCCCAAAACCCCAGAAACCCAGAGAACAGCACAGAGGGAGCTATGAGAAGGTTGAGCCTGGTCAAAACACCCCAAAACCCCAAAAACACAGAGAGCAGCACAGAGGGAGCCCAGAGCAGGGTGAGCCTGGTTAAAGCACCCCAAAACCCCAAAAACACAGAGAGCAGCACAGAGGGGGCCCAGAGCAGGGTGAGCCTGGTGAAAACCCCCCAAAACCCCAAAGTGCAGCACCGAGGTGGGGCCCTGAGCAGCCTCACTCCTGCTGCACATCCAGCACCCCTTTTTTGTGGGGCTGGGCTTGTGGCACACGGAGACACCAACCCCAAATTCCCCTCCAGACGTCCCAAATGTCCCCAAGGCCGAGTCACACCGTGAGGATGCTCCCAATAGTTTTGCATGCGCTGCTTTGGGTTTTGAGGGCTGGATGGGATCAAGGCTCTGAAAGCAGAGTCCCCAAAAAACCCCAAAACCTCCTTTAGGGCCAGCAGAGGGGCCTGGAGGAGCTGTAGGGCCAGGGGGTGTCTGGTGTCCTGCTCCTGGCTGGGCAGGGGACAGGATTTGCTGGCAGGGATAAAGGAGGGAAATCTCACCCCCAGGAGTCTGAGAGCCCTGAGCCCTCAGCACTTCCCCTCCTGCCACATTTTGTGTCCAGTGGGTTGCTGCAAAAATGGGGAAAACACCCAGAACTGAAGGATGCTGAGCATTGCCAGAAAAATCTCTTTTTTTTTTTTTTTCTTTTTTTTATTATTTTTTTTTCCATTAATTCCTTGGCACTCTCAGTGGAAAGGACACCACAACTCCTGCTCTCCCCTCCCTGCTCCAGTTTCTGTGTCTTGGGGTTGTTTTGTTCATTTTCTATGCCCACTTCAGTTAATTACAAGCCCCCAAAACTGCCCAAATATTCCCATTTTTCTGCCATTCCCACTTTTGTTATTCCCTAGTGCCTCTTGTGTTGGAGCCCCAGGTTCTTTCTGGACCTGAATCATTGCCTGGTCCATATTTGTGTCTGTTTGTCTGTAATTCCTGGCTGGGATGTCCAAAATTCCTCAGGATCTAAGGAATGACTTTTCCTTGAGCAGCCTCCTGGCAGGGAAGAGCAGGGACTGTGTTATCAACAAGTGGGGACAGCATTTTGTAGGGGAGAAAATTCCATTGGGATAAAAAAACCAAATATTGAGTCCCTGGAACTGGTTATGTAAAAAAAAAAGGGGGAGAAAAAGCACTTTAAAAGGAATTTTCCTACTGATCTAAACTCAGACTGAATGTAAAGCCTGGCTCTGCTCTAGCAGCTGAGCTTGGCTGAAATATTAAAAATGAAACAGCTGGAAAGGGTGGGGTGATGGCTCACACCTGTTAAGTTTGATCTGGCTGATCCATGGCAAAATTCCATAAAAATTTGAGGCTCTGGAAGAGGGGAAAAAAAGAAAATCTACATAATAAAAATGTTCCTGTCGTAAAAAAAAACAGATTTTAAAAAATCTGCTGGGTCTGGAGCCTTTTGAACTGCTCTCTTGTTCAAATTTTGGCAAAAAAATCCCCAAACCAAACGAAATTAAGAAATATTCTCAGTGCAATTAAATTTACTGGGAACAATTCCCTTTAATCCAGGGAAACCAGACAAGTTTTGTGGGCCAAAATTTGAAGGCGAAAATTCCTTCCTGTGCAGGGAGGAAATCCTGACCCAGCAGATCTGGGATGGCATCAAACTCCTGAGCAAGGGCATCAAAAATACCCCAAAAAACCCCAAAAATAGGAGTTTTTTCCCAAAAGCCACAGGTCTGAGCTGTCTCCTCTTTGGGGAACGAGGTGCCAAGGCCCCCAGAGAAACAGAAGGTGAAGGAGGCAGCAGGTTTGGGGTGTTACAGCAGGTTTTGGGGTGTTACAGCAGGTCTTGGGGTGTTACAATTGGGGTTTGGGGTGTTACAGCAGGTTTTGGGGTGTTACAGCTGAAGTTTGGGGGTACTGCAGCTGGTTTTGGGGTGCACAGGAGAGGAAGAGGAGGAAGAAGAGGAATGGGAAGCAGAGGAAGGAAGATGGGGCAGAGTCAGGAGGAGCTGCTCACCCAGCTGGGCTGTGGGGACCCTGCATGGAGCCTGTCCCTCCACCATTTGCTCTCATCTCTGCTCCAAAGGGGTTCCAGTTATTCCATCTCTGCTCCAAAGGGGTTCCAGTTATTCCATCTCTGCTCCAAAGGGGTTCCCTCTATTCCATCTGTTCCAAAGGGGTTCCCCCTATTCCATCTCTGCTCCAAAGGGGTTCTCCCTATTCCATCTCTGCTCCAAAGGGGTTCCCCCTATCCCATCTCTGCTCCAAAGGGGTTCCCTCTATTCCATCTGTTCCAAAGGGGTTCCCCCTATCCCATCTCTGTTCCAAAGGGGTTCCAGTTATTCCATCTGTTCCAAAGGGGTTCCCCCTATCCCATCTCTGTTCCAAAGGGGTTCCCCCTATTCCATCTCTGCTCCAAAGGGGTTCCCCCTATTCCATTTCTGTTCCAAAGGGGTTCCCCCTATCCCATCTCTGTTCCAAAGGGGTTCCCCCTATCCCATCTCTG